CTAGTTATTACGTTTCACACGTAACAAGATTTTTGACAAAAAGGACAATTACAATCTCAACACTATAAATTCTCCTGATCCGGGGGCCAATCTGTTGCATTGCGCAGAACGTAATTATAGTAACTAAACTTTACTCTAATACGAGATTTACTAAAGTATTACTAGGTTTTTTAAAAATCTCAGTAGTAGCACGGAGTCTGGAAATGTGCCCGGTATATGGCAATAGGCCCTCCCCCTATAACATGGGACTCAAAACATAAATAGGGAAAAGTAGGTATTACTTTGTACAGTGGCATTAAGTGCGGTAATGTGCACCTTTACCTACCCCTTCGGGGATAAAAAGCGTGAGTTATGTTATACTAATACAAGAAGAAAAAAATTTTTCTATCATTCGACCAAGTCATTCAATTTTGAATCGTAATAACTCTCCAATCACTAAGTTAAATAAACACTATGTATTACATACTCAAGTATATACAATTGGCGGTCAGAATACATGACATAACGTATTATGTAACCACTCAAATGGTGTAGGAGTAGATTGTATGTAAATTGTTAACTATTTTACATGTGTCGATTGTAATATCTCTCACTGAATTTAAATGAAAAGAAGGAGTGGCAGAGAAAAGTATTTTTAAAGAGATAGGGGTACCTAAATGATCTGAGGGATCGCTTGATGGTAGAATAAATAAATACACAGCATCAGATGTCATTGGGTGAGAAGTGCCATGAAATGATACGCGATCTGATGAAGGAGAATTAAAGAAGTTGGGATAAGAAGAATGACAAAAAAGGAATACCTTCCTTCAGTCGGGTAAAAAGAAGAATGACATAAAGTACCATTAATTTCTGGAACTACCATAAACAATGAAATTACACACATTTTTACACATTACAAGGCCCGAGTGAAAAGGTTGCTTATGGGACGATGTGCTCCATCGTATGCCGCATCATCGCTTACCACCAGGCGAGATAGTGGTCAAACGTCGGCCCATCAAATATAAAAAAATACACGAAACAGACGGAGCAACAAGATACAACAAGACCAACATTTTGCCAAAAGAAAACCTTTTTACCTATCTCCCTAACCTACCTCAAAGAGTCTACATCAAAATCATCTCAATAGAGTTCAAAATAAAAAAATCTATAAATTAACATAACGACCTAAAGTTTAGTCCATCACCACATACCAAACACCATAAAATTACCATAGGAATGGTATGTACAGACTCATAAATCGTCTCGAGATACCCATAACGAGTGGGCCATGGCAGCCAGACGCTGTTACACCATTGGAACATCAAAACCAAACCGGTTTTGATGGAAACCGAAAGTGGTATCAAAAAATTTCAACGGTAACGTAACGCGACCTTCTACGTTTACGTTTTGGTTGGAAAAGTAAATATAATGTGGTATTTTGTTGCCTGAAACTTGAAAGTGTGTGCAAAGGACTATTTTATTACGTATTAGTTGACAGCTCAGGGACTCAGGGTTTATTTCTAAATGGGGCCCAGTAGGGTTGATGCTCGGCCTGGAGCTGCGGTCCACTTACCGGGGCTCCGGCTTGAAGCAGAAGTAGGAATAGGGTAGGAAGGGTTTTAGTCAGTAACTATCTGACACACCCTCCCGCTTCATCGAAAGCAGGAGGAGGTCATTTGATAAATTATCCCCTCAAAAAAGATCATTTTCTGGATTATCTCATTTTTAATTTCTTATTAATTGAACTCTGGAATTTAGAAATGTAATTAAGTAATTATAGTGACTGGCTTACTTACAAATAACTAAAATTAAATAAATTACTGCATTTTCTGTAGTGTGTTGTACTGTGTACACGACCACGTACACATAATACTGCGCAAGTTATTGGTTCCATTGCAACATAATGCTAGTTCAGAAAGACCCAATTCTAGACTACATACGATTTCAACTGTAAGTCACTATTCCTACAAATCATCAACAGCCTATAAATGCCCACTGCTGAGCAAAGCCTCTCCTCACACGGAGAAGGTTAGAGCATTAATCACCACGCTTGCTCAATGCGGGTTGGCGATTTCAAACTTATAATTAGAAATTATAAGTCCAGGTTTCCTCACGATGTTTTTCCTTCACCGTTTGTCAGTGGTGTCTAAATAATCTTAGAAAGTACATATAACTCGGAAAAAGTCACATTGGTACTTGCCGTTGGTAGGTTTCGAACCCGGGCCACCACGACACATTCCTACAAAGTTCAACCAAAAACATTAAATACGGTCTCCTTTATCGTAAATTGTAGACCAATATTAATGCTGTACTGCTAACCCGCTAAAGGGCAGAAGCGTGAACCACATCGACATCGGGTCAAAGGCTTTCACTTTTGTTTAATACACATTTTTGTCTTCAGAACCAGTTTAAAACCAGATTGCATTTGTATCTACATTCTTAATAGTACAACAATTGTTTTTTTCTTCTCCTCCTATAGTATCTTCTGATTCACTTCGTTGCGGGAACCAAGACAGTTGTTCATGTCCCTGGGACGCGCCGAACTTCAGTGTTCCGGTGTTTTCATGGTGGTATCTACTGTAGATCCTGGCTTACATGAGTTGTAGCGGTTTTGGGAGGCTGTGGCGGACTTGCCCCTTTAAAAAAAAGTATAACAATGGTGTGTTCTAACTGGATTTCGGTAATGGCAGCCGAATCTCAAGCATGATTAACAATAAATGGAGACAGTTTGACTGTCTTTTTTATTATATGGAATAGGAGGCAAACGAGCAGACGGATCATGGACACCCACCCGCAACACACAGAGGAGTCATAGGTGTGTTGCCGGTCTTTTAAAAAGGAGTACGCTCTTTTCTTCAAGGTTTGAAGGTAGTATCGGTTCGGAAATAGCGCCGACGACAGATCATTCCATAGTTTTGCTGTGCGAGGCAGAAAGCTACGTGAGAAGCGCACTGTTGTGGTGTTCTTCGAATGCGCTTTTCAATTCGGGTAACGTACTTATGATTATAATAGGTTTTCGAAAATTATCATTAGTACTCGCACGGAGTTTTTTTAATGAGCCTACGTTTTACGGCTACTATCTCGCCTGGTGGTAAGCTCTGCCACGTCTGTCCATAAGCAACCTATTCACTGGGGCCTTGATGACAACCAGGGTATACAGGAAACACAGACTCTGGCAGAGAATCCCACTCCTTAGCAATACGGACAAGGAAGCTTGATTGACATCCACCATGAATTCGTGAAGTTTCGCCGATTGTCTTGTGGTACAATGATGAAGTTAGAATAACTCCGATGTACGGCGATTACGTCTCCCATATATAAGACGCAAAACATTGTTGAAAAAAATTGGGTGTTTCTTTTCTCTAAATGGGGGTTTTTCTTTAGAAGAATATATCCTAAAGGTTTCCAGGCTCCCGTAACTGTTTGCTATCAGGTACACCGTAAGCTGTAACCTTATTTGCTCAACCATCTACCTTAGTGGTGTAAAAACTAACATCAATAATCCAAACATTACCAGACACACACAAACATACAAACTCATATGTATCATATGGAGATATACTCATTATATCAGCGACTTTAAATAAGAAATATTCAAGTCACGATTGTCTAAGTAAGTCAAGTCATTGTGTGGTATTAAGTAATTATTGGGTAACGGCTTCAGTACTGCGGTGCGATTGTTTAATACCTACTTAGTTAAGTGAACGTGTGGAATTATGATATAAGTTGATTATTTGATTAGAATTTTCAATACAAGAGTCCTATTCTTCCCGCGGGTATCGTATGAACCTAATAAGGGATTAACACAAAGACTGAGGCTCCAGAGCTCTCTGATAAACCTGAACATTTAAATAGTTATCTCCAACCCGGCTGCTATGAGAGAAGATTATGGCAAAACCTTCTACAGAAACCGAGCACTTAGCTTCACTGACAGGCAGTCTGCCTGTCCGTCAGTCGACGGATAACTCAATTTTGACGGTTCAAAAGTCCCTAATTAAGGATTAATTGAAATAAATGCTTTGACTTTGACTTTGACTTTGAGGCCTCTAGCCCAGCAAAGAACTGCCATAGACAGTTGATTTGTAAAAGATGGTGAGCCGAAGATTTTGTTTAACTACCAACTGGCCAGAATATCATGAAGATCAAGAGGATTTAGAAGCCATTGGACATTTTGTACCTTACTTGATGATGAAAGACTGATAGTAAATATTTGTGGATGCCCTTAATGAAATTCCAGCTTCAAAATCCCAGGTTTATAGGTGATCTAACATCATACCGACCAAACGAACAGAACAGTCACCCGGATAAAACCGTAGAGCAAATCAAAGCCTGTATGAAACAGAACATGTTTTTCTCATAAAAAATATGATGAATTAAAACAAAAAAGTATATTACTTTGTTTCCTACTACATTGCGGAGGTAATAAGATATTACATTAATTACAATAATATTGTAATTTCAGTTTAATCTGGTTGGAGTTTCCGTGAGCTTTTTTGTGCAAATGATGAGTTTGAGTAAATTGTGTTATGACGAATTGTAGATATAGCATTATTATTTATGATTCGCTTCTGCCAGCGGCTTCACCGTAGCCTATAACCATAGTCTACACCTGTACCAAATTTCATCCCGATCCCTTCAGCCATTTAAATTCTCATCTTCTTAGAATGGCAATAAGAATGGAGTTCAAAAAAAAATTGGTAATAGGCTGGTCCCCAAATATAATAGTACTTTTACTAGCAACACTTCACGAATATTAATATTTCCTCAAGATTGATGAAACTCTACGAAAACTGTATGAAAATCTGTTCAGTAGTTTTTTAATTCAGCGTGGATTGACAAACAGATGCTGCGCGTATTTTGTTTTACAATACGTTGAAAGGAATCTTCAGCAGTAAGTATATTGGAAACCACAACATTTAACATAAAAATCTGCACCTTAGAAATCATAAGGCCACTTTAGCAAGTTAGCACTTTGGTCCTTTTGCTTCTAAGGTGCAGAATGTCTACAATTTAAAACTTACCTCATACGCCGGGGTATGCAGGCTATCCCTGATGACAGGAGCACTGTTCCTCGGCCCAATAAACGCCATGTTCACATTTTAGCAACATATATGAATAACAATAACTCAATAACTGTTGAATAACTAACTTAATGTTGTTATTTACACACAACACTTGTTATAACACATGTTATTAACGTATCACTGTTATTTTATTTATTTTTCACTTGTGTACTTTCAAAATCGTGGCTAAAAAGATATTTAAAGTTTTGTAATGGATATTATGTTGAAGGATACGTTGACAGTCTCAAATGGTATCATTTTGACCACAAACAATAGGTAAATATCAAACCCCGTAATAACCATGGCTTAAAGTGGGTTGCCGCAGCTTTTGCTCGAAGCAGGAGTAGGAACGGGGTGTATTTAGTCAATAAAAGTCTGACACTTCCTTTCGCCTCACGCAAGGCGGGTAGAGCCATGGGATGCTTTTTCCTGCCCTCAAAAAAAAAAAAAAAAAACAAGAAAAAGACATAAAGATACACTTATCAATGGCCAGATACTAATATAATCAGAATGAAGACGTTGAACTACCAAAATGTCAGTGTATTTATGTATGCGTGTACTTGCAACACCGAATATGGATAGGAGAATGATAGGAGAGTCATGCTTCGGCACGAGTGGGCCGGAGTATCGCTCGACCGGAGCGATACCACGGCCTCACAGAAAACCGACGTGAAACAACGCTTGCGTTGTGTTTCGTCGTGTAAGTAAGTTTGCCGGAGGCCCAGTTAACCCCCCCCCCCCCCTCTCCAGTCTCCCCAATCTCCCACAATCCTCTAATTGCCGATTCCCAAAAGGCCAGTAAAGCACTTGTACCGCCTCTGGTGTTTTACATGCCTATGGGCCGATTACTAACAATCAAGTGATCCGTCTGCTCGTTTACCGGCTAATCCCATTAAAAAAGATCATAATCTTAATAACGGAAACAACGAAGGTACCAGAATACCAGCTTCATTTACGGTCACTTATGGCCTGAACAAGTTCAAAATATTCCTACAAACTACAAGGTCAATATAATCGAGATTTTCATTACAATAAAAAACTAAGTAATGATAAGTAATAACATTAAGTAGGTAAGTATGTTTTTTTTAAGTAGTTTTTTGTTGATTTTAATTTTTAAATTAAACCTTTGTGTTGATTATTATAATTTTGTTACTATGTGATATGTAAATAATATTAGTTTTTGTCGCTTGTTATTTAGTGGTGTTAATGTAATTGGAAGCTGGTCTATTGTTATAAATAACTAGCTTCTGCCCGCGACTTCGTATGCGCAATCCCATTTTCTCCCGTTCCCGGAGGATTTTCAGGATTTTTTCTGTCTTAAAAACCTTCTCCTAATAATAACAAATACAACAAAAAAAAGAATTAGTGATATCGGTTCAGCCATTGACGCGTGTGGTCGTGACGACGGGAAACGGGTTTCATTTTTATATATTAAGATTTAAACAAAGCAATTAAGTTTTATTAATGCTTAACAATTTTGTATGAAATTTTCATTTCAGTTGCTAATATTTACTGAAAAGATAAGAAACTGGAGCAGCAAATTAATCTTTATGGGACTCATGGTAATTTTCAAAACTAAAAAAAAACTATGAAAAGCTACTTATCAATTTAACCATATACATAGGTTTGCTAACCTTCCCTACATAAATATGAAACTATCAATCTAGAACCACAAACAACACCTTCAAACTCACAAAACAAATTAAACTTACTCCAGCATCTAGCCTAGACAAGATACCTATTACATGGTATACCGGGTATACATTCCCGTCATGTATACCCGGCAGACACGTCTGCTTACCCCCCTAACATCATCTAGAGCTAACATAAAGCATTGCTCAGTACTCCGCTGACAGCATAGTAGAAAGAACACAGTAGGTTATCTAAGGCCGCCCGCCGAGTTATTAGCCTACTCTTGCGTTGATCCCCAGGGTTGTCACTTTTACTTTTAGTTAATATTTTCGAACAAGCAGCACTTGATCTAAATTTATGAAATGAAAAGCATATTATGATTGAATATTTTATCAATTTATAAATTTAGTAAAAATTAAAAGCTTATAAAAAGCTTATTAACTTCTTAAAATAAACTTTAGCTCTATACATAGTATTCAGAAAGTAAATTTGGGAATACATTTATATGGAAAATTGCGACACGGCTACGCTCTTAACAAATCAGATAAACTGTGAAATAAACAATACAATACCACATTTTCTTATAATATTTAAGTATAGTAGGTAATTACATTTCTGGTTGAGTAGGAACTATGAATAATGATAAGAGTAAGAATAAGTAAGTAGGTATCTCATCATCAAGTACCTACAAATTATATTATGCTAGAAAAAGTGACTAGCTTACCTTTCCTGTTCAATAGGTACCTAATCTGAACAGAGACAGTTCTGGAATCGATTAATTATTAAGACACCCAAACACACAGCAATACGTTCTTCTACGATTATCAGACATTTTTTATTTCATTGAACAGTGCCGAAAAGCCGTGAAGCGCGCGCAATCCTCGTACAGTGTCAGCCCTGCCTGGCGCACTGAGAAACGGGTCGAGATTTTGTTATAATGTGCGTGCGTCGACGCATAGATACTATGGCGCACACATATAAGCCGCGCGCGGAGCATTTGTATGAAGATAACCTACTTTGTTCTTTATACTATGCTGACAGTCTCCCGTCGAGCAGAGAAAGCAATCACCAATTATACGGATAAGGTGTTTGAAGTAGTGTTAGCGATGCTAAGCGATGGTAAGCCATCTTATACTATTATATAAAGCGGAAGAGTTTGTTTGAACGCGCTAATCTCCGTAACTACAAGTCTGATTTGAATAATTCTTGTGTTGGATAGCGCATTTATCAAGGATGGCTATATGCTATAAAATATCACGCTACGACTAATAGGCTATACGCTGAGCAGAGCGTGTGAAACCGCGCGGAAGTAGCTGGTAATATAATGTTTGTAATCTATTTTATATATGTGTTATCCTCTGTTATAGATGTCTAATTCGCGCCATCTCCTTTTGGGCCTACCGCGACGTCACGTCTATTGACGTTGAGTGGGCTCCACTCAGTAGTAAGTTTTGCCCACCGGTCGTCTGACATGCGGCAGACATGACCAGCCCAGTTCCACTACAGGCCTGCGGCTTTATGACCAACGTCAACGATTTTAGTCGTGGAGCGCAGCGTGGTGTTCCTAATTCTGCCCGATAGTCGAACTCCTAAGATACTGCGCTTCATGGCTCGCTGGTAAATTTTGAGTTTATATTTCTGATGTTGTGTCAAAGACCAAGATTGGCCGCAAAAAGTTTACATAGAGAGGAGTAGAAAGAGAGTATGGCAGAAAATAAATAAATAAATAACATCCTCTATGCTGATTGTGTGTACATGAATTATTAAATAAATAAATAAGTAATTGTCAGTAAGACTGCAATCTTAACCCAGCCTGCTAAGCATGTGACAAACCCTCTCATGAATAGGAGGCCCAATAGTCCAGCAATGGATGTACTGACATATGACATCACATACGTACTCCCCTTTCCTTAACATTAATCTTCAAACAATTTATCCATATTTTTATTTAAAATAAGTCCTACAATTTTTTTAAGGAGGGGGGAAATTATCGAATGAATGGCGGGAGGGAGTGTCAGACTCTTACTTACTAAAAACCACCCCGATCCTACTCTTCGAGCCGGAGTCCCGGCAACCCATTAAGTTCTCCGCGGCTCTGTATCGGCATCAGCCTTATCCGGGCCTCATCCGTGGTGGTCTGATGGCTGTTTGAGGCCCGCGCGGAACGCGACGCGCCATACAATAAATACAGTATTGAAACAAGTTTTTCTATAACATATCATATCAAAATGCGGACATAAAACAATTTCCTGCACAGCCTCGCCTATCTTTCACTGTGCAACAATCACAGCAGTTTTCTCTTGAAAGAAAGCGAGGCAAGTGGAAGGGTAGATACAGAATTCGCCTTTACTCGATCTAGTATACGCCTAGCCTAGGGAATCTAGGAATTAAAGTAAATACCTACATTTGTAACGGACAACATTTTTGTACAAAAATTATATTTATCTCATCTTATGTTTGAACACTTCGGGAAGTGGTTTGACAATCAAATGCTATAAAACCATGTCGTAGATTCTATTCGGACATTGTACGAAAACATTGTGAGGAAACCTTAGGTGGTTGCTCTTGAAACCAATGTCAATGTCAATGCAATTTCAATCCAATATAATCTAAATAATTATTTAATGTATAAGACGGACATTAAATAAAAATTAGGCATCCCCACCCTAACCAATAGGGCCAATAGAGCCCTAACCACCGGTAGCTAGGACCATGCTCCCGGTTACACTACTAGTTGGCTCCTATTTTCATATTTTTAAATATTGTTTAAGTACTATTTAAAATAATGGCTGCCTCGTTGCCGAGTGGTCGCAAGTGCGATTAATAATTCCCGGGTCGAGCAAAGTATTACTGGGTTTTAAAAAAAATCTTAGTAGTAGCACGGAGTCTAGAATTGTGCCCGGTATATGGCAATAGGCTCACCCCCTATTACATGGGACTTATAACATAAACAGTGAAAAGTGGGTGTTACATTGTGCAGTGGTATATTGTGCGACTCTGCCTACCTCTTCTGGGATAAAAGGCGTGATGTTATGTATTTAAAATAAATATATGGGAATATTACTTGACTAAACAACAGTTACCTAGATAGATAGATTAGAATTGTAGTGTCAGAAAATAGACTAGTGCTCCAACGAGCTCGGCTGTAGGCTGGCTAACGAGCTATTATTGTGGTCAGCAGAATTGTTGGTATAACGGTTGCAAATATTGTATTTCCTCGGTTATGATTGTTGATTGTAAGTTGAGCGGTTGGTAAGACTATTGAGAACGTAGTTTCAAGTTCATAATTATAAGATATAGCTACTTCCGCGCGGTTTCACTCGCTCTGCTCTGCGCCTATTAATCGTAGCGTGATATTTTATAGCCTAAAGCCTTCCCCGATAAATGTGCTATCCAACACAGAAAGAATTTTTCAAATCGGACCAGTAGTTTCGGAGATTAGCGCGTTCAAACAAACAAACAAAAAACAAATTCTTCAGCTTTATAATATTAGTATAGTTTACTTTTTATTTTGATTTGTATATTATCAGTAAAATAACACAAGAGTAAGAAGT